AATGTAATTCTTCAATTTCGCACCCTTGACCAGCACAATATCAAGAATCTCATATTTCACCCTTAAATTAACAACTCTGCAATTTTAAACGAATAAAAATTTATTTTCAATTATTTTATTTTTGGCTACAGTGCTTTCAATTCATTCTGGATTGAGCTTCAAATTGAAAAAACAAAGTAATGTCGAAATGAATGTCTTTAAAAATAGCAATTGGAATGGGAGAGGATTATGTGAAAATGTTTGAATTTAAATGGATTTTCTGCGACTTTTCTGCAGACACTTTAATAGACTCAAATAAAAGTTAAATTCAGATATTATTTTTTTTGGCATTTTCAGGCTTTAAGATAAGGATTTTTTTGTTGTCTTCTGAAGTTCAGTTCATTTGAATTTGTTGAATAATTTTGGAGCAGTTGGATGAACATGCCCGAATAGCACAAGCCGGTTAATCAAACAGAAATCCAGCGCCAAGCCGATGTGACTCTGGCATGGTACTGGCTTCGATTTAAATCTTGACGATTTGAATTCTGATCGATTAACCGACTTGTGCCATTCGGGATGAAGTCATTAGCCATCGGCTATATTGATATGTTTTATCAAAATGTAAGAATATTGGTCAGTTGCTTATGACGCTCAGCATTTTGTACAACTAAGGAGTTGCAGTGTTTAAGTCTTAGTTATTTCTTTGCCTTTACATTCCAGAAAAACCTTCAAAAAGTTCAAGGTACTCCAAATTTATAAACATAATAATAACTTCCTCAAAAAAATAATATAAACACACTTCACCTGCAGTCCCACCTACAAATTTTCTTCAAAATTACAATTTACTTTCTCCCATAAAATCTACATTAAACTATTCGAGCAATATAAAGTTTACAATAATTTATCTTCGTGTGTCTTAGGTTACTCGAGCTTCTTGTCGATGCAAGATTGCAGCAAAATTTAAATTTTCTTACGTAAAAGTTTGTTTGCAATAAATTTTGGCTATTATCTGAAACTTTTCTAGCATTCATAATCATTTTAATTTATGTTTATGATTTTGTCTTAAAAAGTAAAATTCTTGAGAATATAGATAAGATGTTGTGTTCATTTACGCGCTGTTATGCTGATTATTTTAGAGAATGTTCATGAATAACTTTGGTGGTTTTGTTCTTATTTCTTTTGAAGTTAAATCAAGTGACTCAGATGTGAATTAAAAAGGTTGGTAATTCACAAAATGCGTTTAGTGTTGGGGTGGGAGCGGGGGAGCTAAATAGATTATTAAATTGAGAAATTGAGTGAATTCAGGAACAAATTCTAGGATTTAAGCTTAAAAACTCTTAATTCACACTTAAATGGAAAATTTCAAATTTAACATACACACAAAGTCTGTACTTCTTAATCCCACATTGGTGAAGAATTTATTCAAAATTTGTTGACAAATTCAAATCCAATTCCTATAAAGTATTGAAAATATTGAGTAAATTTGACAAAATCTCTTTTTCGTGACTTAAAACCCACCTCCAAATACCGATTTGATCCCACTTAAAATCTCTTGCAAAAAAAAAATAAAAATATTAAAGGAAGTGAGCAGCTTGTCACAATCCTAGGATAAAATGGATTTTGTGATTGATCAATAAATTAAATAAATTATAACCGAGTCATTTGATCTATTGAACTCGACTAGCTTATCAGGAGTTGAACCGAATGAATGAATTTAGTTTATATTTACTTATGGATTTATGCTGAATACACTTGAGTTTATGAGATCACGAATATTTACAGTGAATGTCAAGTGGATGTGAAAATGTTGCTGTGTGATTTTTTATGGGAATATCAGAAAAATTTGTTCAAAACTGAATTGCTAATGATCAAACTAAGTGCTAAGCATATAGAAAATCCAGTGGCACGTCGAGGATTTTTATAAATCACTGGAATTATCAAAGATAAGTTAAAAGATAAGCTGAATTGGTACAGTTCTCCGTGTAAACCGCTTGAGATGGGCTGGACGTGTCTTCAGACGCTCACAAGATGCTCAAGTACTAAAAGTGATAGTAGCATTGTTTATGGATGGCAAGAGATTACGAGAAAGACCGAAGATCTCGTGGATTGGATGTGTTGAAAAGGACGCTAGATTCCTTAATATCCCGAACTGGCAGAAGGATTCTAAAGATAGAGCTGACTTAAGACTATCTCTATGCGCGGCAATGGGTCCATGTGCGCCCCAGCTAAAGAAGTAAGTAAGTTACTTAAAAGTTCTTCAAAACTTTAAAAAATTTATATTTTTAAAATCAATAATTATTTCAATGCCATTCATCGCAGATTTTAAAAGCTTCTTTAATTTCCTCAAAACAAAAAGAAAGTCAACAGATTCAATATTTCCCACAAACAAAGACCACCAAAAATAATTTTTATGCCAAATTTTAGTTCTTCTTAATCACCCAGCATCTCTTAATCATTAATTATAATTAAACACGAAGTAAGCAAACAGAAATAAGAATATCGAGTGGGTGCTAGACACGAGGACAGCGAAAAATGAGAATAAAAGGAAAATCTAATTAAAGTGAGCAATTTTTCTTAACGATACTAACGCCTTTATACCGAAAAAAGAAATCGACTCATCATTAAGAAAAGCCTTCCGACAGAAAATTTTCTGTATAGCCTTTATTGTTGCGTGAGAGGAAATATAAAATATAGAAACAGAAATAATAAAAATAACAAATCTCAGGGTATCTATCGTTAATGACAATTGCTGGAGATGATGATAAAGAAGAAGAAGAGAGGGAAGTGACAAAATTAAAAATAATTTCTCTGTTGTGTTATAAAATACACACACAAGGAATGCGTAAAAGGCAAAATGAAGCTGAGGAAATTTTCTCGTCTCATTAAAAAACAGATGGAGTGGATTGAATGAGAAGTTTAATTGAATTATAAAATTGTGGAATCTAAATATACCCAGGATTCAGTTTCTGAGGATATTCTTGTTATAGTCAAGTTTTATTCATAAATCTAGATGAAAAGCCAGTGGATCCGATAGAGTTCAGATCTATATCATTAGTTCGATTCCCATCAGATACTTCGAAATTCATTCCTTAGAGCTTAAAGGTCCGAAAATTCGATTATTTACAATCTTTCAAATTAAATCAACACATCCACTTTTCAAGGCTCACCTCATAAAATACAATTATCCACTCAAACTGGATTACGACATTTCATTTCGTGATAATTTAATGAATGAGGATTTGATGATTGCTAGCAATTAAAGCGTCGTCACGAGAGCAAAGCGAAGGCAAAGAAGAATATTTTCATCTTTTGCCTTCTTTCTTTCACCATTTCCGCATTATTAAAAATAATTTTCATAGAAAACTTGGCTCGCATTTTGAATCCGTAGCGGAAAAATAAAAATGTTTGAAAATTATGATTATTTGAAGTAGCGAATTGAAATTAAAGGCACATTTATAGATTTATAGCCCACAGCTTTGTGATGAAATTGGAGGTGGAAATATATTCATGGAAAAAAATTAATAAATAATTCTTTTAAGGACTTGAGGCTTTCAGTGATGCACGAAATATCAGAAATGATTCTGAGAAAGAAAATTGTTTTGAATATTTTGGTGCGCAGCTGTTTTAAAAGAATGATTTTGTTTGGAACTTTGAATTTTATCAAATTGCTGCATCAAATTTCTACTTTTAAATATTGAAATTAGAGTTATAATTTTGGAGCTTCATTGCTATGAATAGCTTTAATTTTCTCTCCGATATATTTTGAACCAAATGCCAGATTTTAGATGAAATTATCAAAAGCCTTTTACAATATCATTGACTATATTACTGACTGCATATTTAAGATGAATTGGAATTTATTTAAGTCGAAGATATCCTGAAGATTTTTTTATCATTTGACATTCCCGTAGCTTCACCTCTTATTTCTGAATAAAGAAAACCTTTTAAATCTCTTCCTATACTTTCCACATTCAAACATATTCAAGAACTAACTCTACAAAAACTACCTTTAATTCTATAAAATCCGATATTCCCAACGAAACCTTATTGACTTTAGATTCACTCCAGATCAATTCCACATTTCCCACCCACTCAAATAGTTTAAATAAATAAAGGAAAAGAAAAGTAAAATCGAAACAGCTGATAAAATTTATTTAAGCAGCTGATAACATCACTTTTGTGTACGCGATGAATTTGAAATGAGAGAAACAGAAACTTTTTTTTAAAAAAAATAAACTTTTGTGTGAGGAGAGAGAAAACGTTTGACACGTCGTGAAGACTTTTAGATTACTAAATTTTTCCCATGAGGAATGAAGTTGTTTTGGGAAATGAAATGACTTTGTTGTTGTGAGAAATTTATAGGAAGTTAAAGCTTTACTTGGAAAATAAATTGAAAGTTTTTTGAGACTTTTTTTGTTTGGAATTGTTGAGAATTATTTGATAAAATGTTGTAAGGGTTCAATAAGAGAAATTATGATTTCTCTGAAATTGAGATATTATCACTTATAGACTGCATTTTGATATCAATGAAATGAATATCATTGCATTTAAATCATTAGATTTTGATTGACTTCTGAAGATTGATTAAGTATTTGAGTTTGATTCAATTTAAATGTTTGAAACTTTAGATGTATGTTCAAATCTAACAAGACACAGCCTTAAATTGACTCTATTTATTCAAAATAAACAGATATAAATGCTAATAGAGTTTTTTATAAATTGGCAGAAAAGCAAGACTTATTTAAGATTAGTGTTACAATCGGCTTGAAGAGTATAAATCCATAAAATATGTCCATCACTTACTTAGAAAAGTGAAACAGACCAAGAATTTAAAGCAATCTAGTAATCAATCTAGTTCAAAAAAACCAAATCAAACCACTCAGAAAAAATTCTGAAAATTTGATGAAAAATTCCACGTAAAAAGCCCCAAAAAAATATGAAATCACATTCCTAGCTTCCCGTGTTAATTTTCTCACAATCGAGAGATGAAAAAAAAGAATATTTTTATTGCTTCAACTTACAAAATAACGTGATAGCACTGCGAATAAGATTCGTTGACTTTTTCCTGTTTCTTTGTATTTTCTGCCTTAAATCCTCTTAATGGTGTCGAATTTTAAGATTAGTCAAGCACTTCATTAAATTTATTCTTTTTTGTCACTTTTTCTGCACAATCAACACTGAATTTTTTTTTATTCTGAACGTTGCTGAGATTAGAAATTAATTTGAATTAATTAATCGACATTAATCACTTTTTATGCTTCTTTTGAAAGGTTACTTTTTTTAAAGAATTTGAATTATTTTGCAGATTTTTTTACAATTTTAAATCTGAATTTTCACTTCAATGTTGAAATTCAATTTAAAAGATTTAAACTTTCAGATTTATCTGCAAAAACAGTTCAAAAATCAATCTTCATTTACTATAGATTAATTTATTCTCAGAAATTTTCGTCAACCTCTCATCCACGTGCACCAAAACAATTCAACAATTCTTCCTTCTCACGTTCAATTTTTTAAACCTTTTTTATAAGCAAATTTTCCTTGAACATTCAACGTTTATTGTTATTGTATTTCATAATTATAGCTCTTTTCCATCGTTGCATGAATTTACATACAATTTTCATCTCTCACACTTTATCAAATTATCATATTTCTCTTTTATTATTAATTTTCACATTGTTTAATTTACATAAGATTAATTTCACACTTTTTGAATTTTGAAAAGATTAATTTTAGGGATTCATTTAATGGAAATTCACTTTTTAAATTTAAAAGTTTAATTTTTTTTTATTTTTATATTTTCTAATCAATAAAAATTGCAATTTTGAAGCAAACGAAGTTTTTAACAATAAAAATTTTTTGAAGTGTTTTAAAAGAATTTTATTTTTGCTTAATCTTTAAACATTTTTTTTAAATATAATTTATCAAATTAGAATTCTTATTTTGATTCAATTGAAAACACAAGTTAAAACTTTAATATTTTTATTTTTATAAATTCGTTGATTTCACTGAATTTTTTTTTGTTCATTTTAATTTAAATCACATTCATACAAACACTGAAACTTTATTTATATAAATTCGGAATTTTTTTGGTTTTGCTTAATTTTCACAAAAAAGAGATTTTGAATTTTTTTCAATGATTTTTATTGTAAATTGTTTCACTTTATTCGAAATGTCAAATTTTATTCAAATAATCCTTTAATAGTCATAGTCATATAGTAATTTTACATTAACTTTTGAATTATTTTTAAATTTTGCATTATTACTTTTCTTCTATTTTTTAAATTGAATAAAATAATAAATCCAGAACCTTCACTTTGATTTAGTTTTAACTTTTTAATTTCAATTCCACTCAAAATTATTCAAATCAGTTCTTAACACTCAAGTTTCATCAATCAGATTTTTTTTTTATTTTTTTATCCCAAACAGAACCAATAAAATGTTTTACAAGTCAAATTGAGTCTTAATTGAATGAATAATTTAATTTCAAATATTCAATAATTTTCCATTCTTATTCCTCCTTCAAAATCCAACAAGAAACTTTGTTTCCTCAATTCACAGATAAAATTTAAATTCTTTTTCTTATCACCCTCACCGGATGAGTGAGTGGACGGATGGAAAATTAAATTTTTTCAAAGAAATTAAACTTTTTTTCATCAACATTTCTTTTTGTGTGTGTGTTTGCTGCTCAGTGGATAAAAAATTGCTTTCCTTGACAATAATTCAAGCCAAAATATTTTTATTATCTCTTCCGCACATTTTTTTCTATCCTTAATGATAAAAAAGTTAATTCGGAAATTTTATTTTTTTTTTCAATTTATTTTGGCAATCACAAAAAAGTTGAAATTTATATTTTTCAACACAAAATCCGTTTTCACATTTGATCGTCACGACCGTTTTGATGAAACTAAAATCAACATGGGAAAATTTTCTGTAGCAATGCTTGTGAACTTGACTAGCTTTTTCTGTACCGATTTTTTTTTCTTTTTTTTTGTAACTTTCCCACACACAATTTTCATCTTTTTCTCTTTTTTTCTGGTAATTGAGAAGTTTTGAGAGAGAGAGGAAGCTGCTTTGTGCAAGGGATGCTGTGTGCTGGAGAGAACTTTTACTCTCTTGGTTTTATGTTTAATCATTGAGAATTTTCTTTGATATGAAATTTTCTCACATTTTCATATACACTGTCAAAATTAATGTTGAGAATCTCGTGATTTTGGAGGAAATATTCTCAGGAGATAGCAATGTGAAAAATCACATGTTTGAGAGAAAATTTAAATTCGTTCACTTTGGGGTCGGTCATATATTATGTCAGTTCTTAAATGACGTTGTTTGTGAACGACTCCATAGATGTCATGCCTATGTCCTTTATATAATACTTTGAGCATTTTCTTCGCGTTTTTATCAAAAGGAACATGTGTTAATGAATAGCCAAACATACTTCTTTATTCATAAAAACCCCTAAACTTTTGACACACTTTTGCATACCTTTCCACCAATTTTATTGATTTAAATCGGTAACGAATGTAGCATATATTAAAATGATAATATATAAATACGATATTGGTCAATTGCATTTTCAACTTTCCTTAAATTAAATTACATGATAATAAAATTAATGTGACAAAAAAAAACATTGGTGATGTACTTAAATGTTTCAAGATGAAAGAAGAAATAAGAATTCAAAGAACTAGATTAATCTTTAGAGTTTAAGTATTAAGAAAAAAATTATTAAAAAAAATCATGCGCTCTTTTGTTGTGAATGAGCTCGAAGAATCCTTAAAAATAGTCATTTATATTGCTGATAAAAGACTCAAAAAAATGTAATTGTTAATGCTTGATGAATAGTAGTACTATTTTACTAGAAAATTGATTCTTAATATCGCTTGTCTACAAAAAAGATCTCAAAAAACAAATTAGCCAATTTATGTAAACGACAAAAGATTCTTTACTGCCTGCTTTACGATTATCAGGGTTTACGGATTGATATTGTGTCTTAACTGTTCTTGGCACCGTTTTTAAAATTTGAATCTAAAATCTAAATTTTATAGCAAAATGATTTTTGGATAAAGTTTCTTTTTATAGCAAATTGTGTCTTAAGTAAGTTGACAACCCCTCGATAAAAAGATTACATTTTAAAAATCAAAAATTCGTTATAATTTAATTTTTTTAAATCATGATAAATTTCTGTTTAAAATTGTATTACAACTTATTTTTTGCGTATAATTGGAAATGTATTTTCGGAATGTAACCATTTTCAGTGTTAAGACATAGAAATGAATATTATTGTTTAATGGACACTTAGAAAACAGAAAAAGTGATTCTGAATTGTGAAATTTAATTTTGACGATTAAGACTATCGGACAATAACTCTAATTGTACGTTTAAACTGAAATAAATAATGAGAACCAATAAAGAAAGCTTTGCTATTTTAGCTATCATTTTAATTTGTTTCAAGTGTGTTGAAAAGTAATTGTTATTTTTAATTGATAATACTTTAAAAATTTATTTGAAGTTTGTCAATAAAGTAAGTGCTACGTAGGAGATGTAACAAAAGGTGATTATTGATAAGCATTTCAACGTAAAAGGTGAATTATTTAGTACACTTGTTATTAAAATCCAAAAATTACAATTTTTCAATTGGTTTTTTTCAAAGCAAGGCTCTCTCAGTTTATAATCTTTTAAAAACGAAGATTATAATCTCCAAAACAGGAAAAAGTTATAATCTTTAATAATCCTTCATAGAAAGATTATTGAAGATTATAATCTGCGGAAGCAGATTATTGTTTAAGTATACATTGCAAAAAAAACTGAAAGTGAAATGTATTACTCTATTCTTTATAAAAACTCTTACTTATTCTTAAAATGTTTATCAACATTGCTTCAATTATCTACCCCCCCCCCCCCCCCCCCCGACCCCCCCCCCCCCCCCCTTCTGGGGCTTTATACTTCTGGCTTTTGTACTAGAACAAATGCTTCCCAAGAAACGTGTTACATCATTCCGTCAAGTAATAACCTCTTCCACACCAGCTTCTCATTTGTGTCTAGTAACAATCCAAAGATGATCAGCTCAGTCCAAAACCTTTAATTGATTTAAAACAGGCAGCACTAAAATAATTTTTAAATCCTCCACAATTAAAATTTTTCTCAGCTTAAATTCTTGATCTTTGAAACACCAACGCTCAGTCAATCAGCCAACATTTTTAATGAAAACAATGAGTATTCAACGAGCACCCACATACCTATAAACTCATCTACTACCACAATTTTCCTAAGAAGAAAAAAATCGGTAAACAAGTCAGAGTACGAAAATCGTAAAACGAATTTCAATTTCACTTCACTTTCGATCCCATTCCTCCTCCAACCGGCTGTCGACTCAACTTCCTATTCCATTTTTATTTTCTTCGAATAACAATAAATGTCTATCCATCTATAGAATAAAGGAAATTATTTATATATCGACACATTTAAGTGTTCAGGAGGCTAAAAAACAAAGAAGAAGATGAAGAAAGATTTTTTTCTTTCTCCACAGAATGAACAATAAAGGAAGGAAGAGGAAAAGTAGTTGCTTAATGGTTTTCGGTTTTTCATCTCATTTAACAAATAGTTTTTTATTTCAATTTATAATTTATTAGTATTGGTTGGTGGAAGTGATATTTTTGGCATCATTGTTTTTTCATCTGAAAAATTATTTGTACATTCTTGTTGAGGTTTATTTTTGTGTTCGTCGTTCCTTAAATTGAGATGTTTTGTTTTGGACGTAAAGTCTTTTTTGTCTATTGATTATATTTGTTCCAATTCAAGTGACGGAAGGAGAAGAAATATAACGATGATAATGTTTTTATCTTGATCAGAAATTTATGGTTTTTGTCACCAAGTTTTTAAGGTATTTGCTAAAGAATTATGAGATTAATAGACTGTAAATGTAGGTTTTTGGGTTGTTGGCTGCTCATTCATCCAACTTTGCATTTTATAGTTTGTCATTTTTATGAGCATTCAAGGCTTAATACTCGAGGTTGTGTTTGCATACATATAAGATGTTAGGATTTGTTTGAGCTTGGAGCTGTAACTGTTGCTTATTGCTCGAAGTATTTAAAGCTAGTAATCTAGATAAATTACTATGACCATGTTCCTATGTAGAGCTTAGGTTACAACATCTGGCTCTGTTGCTGGCTCTGTCACCTAGTTTGTACAACATCTCTGTTCGCACATTAAGCTGACATTCTTGCATCACTGTTCTACGCCAAGTAGCT